CTTAATTTCTAATTCTTTCTCTTCTTTTCCTGTCATATTTTTGTCAGTATATTAGTTTTTCCTTCATTTCGTTCTCCAAAGTCACTGATTATTTCTTTAAGTTTCATAATGCTACATGATGGGTCTTCCAGAAAGATTACCATATAATCCGCGCTCTTACTTTAAAGTGTTGCTTTTCAATTTTTAAACCTTAGTAGTACCTCCAACCTTGTTATGAACAACAGGGGTGAGAGTAGATATCCTTGGCATTTCCTTTAGAAATCTGACATTGATTAGTTTTCTCTCCGTTTACTATTATTCTTGCATTTTGTTTGCTATATATGCTTTTTATCTATCTAAAAAAATATCTCCTACTTCTATTGTGTCTAGAACTTCAAACATAAATTCCCAATTACTATTATTGAATGCTTTTTCCGCATCTAGAAAAAACATTCCTAACTTCTTCTCCGGATGTTGTTCATAGAATTCCAACATGTCTATTACCAATCTTACATTTTGTCTCATATGTCTTTGTGGTAAGAATCCTGTTTGATCTTTTCCAATCCATTCCTTTAATACCCTCTTGAATCTCTTCGCTAATATTTGAGCAAATATTTTGTAATCTACATTTAACAGTGATATAGGTCTACAATTTTTTTGATCCTTTGGATCTCTATTCTCTTTTTTTAAATCTTACACAGATTATATGTATTCTGTACAAATGCCTTTACTCCTCTGCACTGAAAATATTTCTGTTGCTGCAATAAATTTCAATAGATGCACTTCTCTTGAACTATTGCAAGGGAAACCATCTTTTCTGTACAGTTAGAAATGTTGGTCTTTCAACATTTTCTTGGAATAGGTCTGCAAGACCTCAGTTTTAGTAGGCTGCTGCCATCATGCAATTTTATAATTTCTTTGTGGTTTGCGGGCTGCACTGTCATTAAGCAGATTATGCATTTTTTTCTCATCTGGTGGATTCTATAGAATGCCATTAATGGGGGTTAACAAGTACTCTGTGTAGTGGCTTCTAATGTTCATGTATTAAACTCCTGTTTTGTTTCCTGGCTGGCCAAGTTCCCTTCACCTCTTCTTCCCTAATAGCTCCTCTCCAAGTGCATTTATATTTCAGCTCTTGAAGTGGGCTCCTCTTGAGTATTATTCCAGTACTGAGTATGTGAGAGTATTTAAAGGTGGGTAATATGCTGTCCTCCAGGTATTGCAGCATTGCAATTCTGGTCATGCCTAGCCAGAGCTTGAATGCTCCTTTTTGGGCTTCCAGGTTGCCCATGCCATCTGGGAGATTCTGGATGTTTTGATCTGAAAAGTAACTTTTTCAAAGTCCAGCATAGCAGATGGTGACTAGATGTTGAAAGTTTCAGTCCAACAACATAATAATAATAATTGGCCCACCCTAATTTAAGAAGAAAACAAAACTATATGTGTTAACAAGTATCTTTCAGGTTTGTTTTACCGTGAAGATTTTTGTTTGCATCTTAAGACTGTAGTGCATAAGCGTTACTCAGATTTTAGCAGCAATGTTGGCTGCTGTTATCCCCATAATCATGCTTGAAGAGAATAGAAAGCTGAAGGCTTTTCAGTTTCAAATCTGAGCAAATTACAGCACTGGGTTATTGTGTGATTCTTTTGAAGAAAGATCTATAATGGAGAAAGGAGCCTTCAATGGGTCCCAGCTGGAGAGCAAACACATAATGGTATCTTCGAAAGGATTAAATTTCCAATCTCATTCTGATTATTAGATCAGCTAGAAAGGAGGTATGGATACAAAGTCTTAATTTGTTTTTGTACCTTCCATGTGTGAAATACATGAATCTTTGGGAAATAATTTTCTTCCCAAGGACTTTGCAGGTAATGTAAAATCTGGAAGCTTTACCCTGAGTAGCTGTTTGTTGCATCTACCTGCTGTGGTTCTAATGAAAGGAGAAATAATTGTTCTTAAAAAGCAACAAACGTTGGTATTGCAGTCCAGTTGGAAAATGTGCCTTGTAAACTTTTAATAAAGAAACTCAAACCTTTGTGCTCTTTGCAGGTATTTTAGAATGTGAAAATCTGCAGTTTAACATGCATAGTCTTGTGTGTTTCTTTAAGAAGGATAAATATACTTTCTCCTCTCTGAAAAAAGCTGTGGTTGGTAGTTACCTGATATGGCTTTTCTTCTGGCATCCCCTTCTTGTAAGATAACTAGCCTTAGGTGTACAGGTGTTCTGGCAGCGAGGCCCCATAATTTGGGAGACCTTCAATTAAGGCATTTAAGAGCAATGTTTTCTATTGAAGTGGGCATTCCTATTATTTTTAAGGTACATCTTTAAGGCAAGTGGTGAACGGGCTTGCAAGCACAGTTGAATGCACACCGATAGATGGTAATGTTCATATGTGTTATACACTGTCTCAGCCTATGATATAGTTATAATTTATGAGAGGATTCCATGGTACCTCCCCATAGAAAACAGTGGTAAGGACTGTGTTTTTGCCTTCTTTCTTGTGACATTTTTATTTCAGCTGTTGTCTACTAATGCTGCAGTTCTACCTCTCAAGCCAAAGGCTTGAAATCTCTACTTGTGCCTTTTTACCCAAATGGACAAATTGTAAGGTTTGAACCTTACATAAAACTAATTTTTGGTGGAACACATCTGATCCTGTAATGTGCTTTTTGAGGAAAGTTTTGAGCAGCCATCCTATGGGGGACTGAATTTTGAGTTATCCCTACTGTGTACAAGACCTGTCTCTGTAAGAAATTGGCTCAAATTAAAAATGCTTCTCCTTTGTTTCCTTAGCAGGTCCAGATAGTTGGGAAAAGTTGGTCTACTTTATAAAATTAACTCTAAGGTGTTGCATAGCTGCTGATTGGTGGTTTTGTTTATTTATAGTGGGGTTTTTTAAATCGTACCTTAAGTTGTTCAGTAAACAAACTTTCTTTTTCCAACATTGATGTCTGTGTATTTCTGTGTTTCAGAAAGCTGGGAAATTTTCAGCAAACAAATGTAAAAGCATTTTGATCAGTGTAGATCAAAACATGTAGCTGAAGCTTTGCTCTGAAAAGGAAAAAAAAAGGGGGGGAGGCTATAGGTTACCGTCCTCCAGCACATTGATCCACCCTTCTTGTGTTTGCTGTTTCTAGATGTTGACATTATTAAAGGCTGTTTCATTTCAGCTCTTCCACACCATAAGTGAGGCACTCTGTAGGAAATGGGGTAACTAGTGGAAGTCTGGTATATTGGGGTATAAGTTAAGGCACAACAAGTATTAATGAGTCCATGTTTTGAGTGAGGACACATGGGGGATTGATCTGTAGTCTTGAGGTTTCTTGCTTTGGGGGGTGGTATTGCTTGAGTCACAATTTGCTTTAAACTGAAGGGTCTCTGCCCTCCCTTTGTGGAATGTATGTATAACACCAACTCATCCAGGACAGCAGAACTGGTGGCCTTCCAGATGGCTGCTTGACTTTAACTCCCATTAGATATAGATAGGTTTTCCAGCAGTCATGTATGCTGGGAGACGCAGTTTATGAAAATCTGAAGGATGGCGAGGTCTCCAATATTTTTGCCCATTCTGTTTGGACTGCACGTATCTATAAAGTATCCTACCGACCAGTGAGCCCAGCAAATGCACCAAAGACCAATAATCAGCCTCCAATTCATATTCCTCTCTGGCACAGGTCTAACTATTGGCAAGTCCAGGTTAATTGCTAAGAGATACTACCTTTCTCTCTCTCCTTGCCCTCCAGTATTGTTGCAAGTCCATTTGTGTATGTAAAGGTAAAGGTAAAGGTTCCCCTTGACAATTTTTGTCCAGTCGTGTTCGGCTCTAGGGGGCGGAGCTCATCCCCGTTTTCAAGCCATAGAGCCAGCGTTTTGTCCGAAGACAATCTTCCGTGGTCACATGGCCAGTGCGACTTAGACACGGAATGCTGTTACCTTCCCACCAAGGTGGTCCCTATTAATCTACTCGCATTTGCATGCTTTCGAACCGCTAGGGACAAGCGACGGGCGCTCACTCCGTCGCGTAGATTCGATCTTACGACTGCTTGGTCTTCTGACCCTGCAGCACAGGCTTCTGCGGTTTAGCCCACAGTGCCACCACTTCCCTTGTATGTAAGGGAAGCTTACAATTATTTCCAGTACACAATTAACTAGCCATCAGCCCTCCTCAGTTCAAGAGATGTCTATAGGTTTGCATTTCACATTTCAGCAAATGTTTTAAACATAGTCCTGAAAAATGATTTATTTGAGCTTCTGACTCAAGTGTCGCTCTTTCCTTACAAGACTGTTTAAGTGGAGACCCATGTGGCCCTCCAGAAATGGTTGAGACTGCATAGGCAATTGTGAGGGATAATGGGAGTTGTAGTCATGGAACATCTAGAGGACCACAAGTTCACTCCACTTATAAAGTTGTAATTTTGGATATCGGAAGATCCAATCAAGAGGGTCAGTTATAAGAAAAATCCCAATGACTGTCTGAAGAAGACAGACCCTATCTAAGCAATTCATACGAGCTGGACTGGGCTGAATGAAGCGCGGGGTCACTGGTGACTCGAACGACACCCTGGGGAGGGAGAGGGGGAAGGGAGGCTCCCCTCCAGGGCCGCCTTCGCGCCTCCCGATTGGAGGGCTTCGCCGAGAGGCGGGCGGGGGAGCGCGCGGTTCCCTCCATGTGGCGTCGAGGTGGCCAGCGCTCGCTCGGAGAAGCCAGACGCCTTTCCAGCGGGGCTGGGCGCTGCAGCGGCGGGAAGGATGAGGGACGCGTCCCGGGGACGGGCTCCTTCCCCGTGGCGCCTTCGCCTCCTCCTCCTCCTCCTCCTCTTCCTACTGGCCGGCTTCGGCCGCTCCTGGTGCAGCCAAGCCGAAGGGAGCGCCGGGCTCGCCTCGCCCCGCGCGCTCTGCTTCTACGGGCAGGTGCCCGAGAACAGCCCCCCGGGGACGTGGGTACAAGGCTTGCGGGTGCCCTTGCGAAGGCTGCTGCTGGCCGCGGGCGAGACGACGACGACGACGACGGGAGAGTGGACGCTGGAGGGCGAGGGCGCTTCCCGCTTTGCCCTCCGGGCGAAGGCGGCTGAGGGGAGCGGGCGGCGGGCGCTGCTGCTCCTGAGCACCACGGAGCGCTTGGACCGGGAGGCGCGGCCGGGCTACAGCCTCACCTTGCG